GCAGCATCTGCGACTTCAACGGGCAGGTCGTTCTGGTGTTCTCCCTCTATCTGGTCCGCCTGTGCCGCAGTTGCATGGCTACCATTACTCTGGGGTGGTTGTTGCATCTCCTCTTTCTGAGTTGTGGCCATGCTCTCCTGCCCAGCCGGCAATGGCCGAATCTCCTCGTGACTGTGGGAAATCCCTGTGGCATCTGCGGAATTCGTGGACAGGGCGTGCATCAGCTGCGCATAATCGAGATCCACACCTCCATTCGTGCCAACGCACGCACAGTTTCCTTGGCGGCTTCCGTTCTCCGCAAGACTCACCTTGCACAGCACGACACGGCAAACGGGCGTCGCGCCACGGCCTCTGAACACCAGGCCTGTGCTTCAGCAAGTCGGGCAGCTGCAAACGCATAAACATCTGCCGGAGGCTGAGAACTTGCCTGTGTTGAAGACAGCATTTCAGCGCTTTTTGTCAGGGCTTCGCGATGCTCCGCGCCTCTGTCAACATGTCGAGCAAGAACTTGTCAAGTCGGTGCTTTGCCAAGTATTCTCGAGCAGACTCCTGAGTACATGCATATTGAAGGCCAGAGAGGGAAGGAGACAGCACCGAAGCACAAAGGGTTCTTGCAAGGCGAGGCCAGTAATAGGATCAAAGTTTCAGCATGTTTCAGCTTGGCTTCGGGTTTGCGCTCAAGTTGCTCGCTTCCGTAACTGACGGCACCTTGGGTGAAAGTCGTCCCTTGGCACAAAACCAAAGCCGAGGCAAGCCGGTAAAGGATTGACGATTATGCCGTGACATTTCGTATTGCGCGGAAAACCAAACAAATCCTTGGCCCTTCACCAAACCAAATCCTTCATTGAAGAAGAAGCTGAGCTCAGCACTACTGCTGCAGTCAAATGCACCTCCACAAGGCACACGATGGAAAAGCAAACGAACCGGAGCAGAGGAGCAGAAGCAGCGCATCCCGGGCCCCTGACTGGATCGTCCCATGCAAGGCACTGTGGCCAGCAGTCTGAGGCTCGACATTGCTCCACCTGTAATTACGCCGCTTCCTCTCACAGCGCTCCCCCGCCAGCGACCATACCGAACCAGCCTCAGCCTCGTCCCTGTTTCGGAGCTTCGAAATGCCGCGCTCTATCACGACTACCACTTCTGCATCCTCATGACCTTTGTGCACTCCAGGCACACATCAAAATTCCGCATACTCTATATATATATATATGATATATGCAGATTGGGTGTGACTTTAGATCCGGACGAAGAGTCAGCTGTCTCGTCTGGGCCAGGGCATCTGACATACCTCCCATGCTTCATCCATGAGATTCGAACACGAAACTCAGCGCAAAGAGGCCTCGAATGACCACTTCATCACCACAAAGGGGCATCAGCAAATCCATCCGGAACGGATTCAGGCCTATCGCACGGCCAACATAGGGCCAGCATGCAAGGCCAAACTGGACAGTAGAGTCAGCGGATTTTGAGTTATGCTGTGACTGGCCTTTAGCCTGGGTCGGGGTGACCCACGGGAAATAAACGCACAAACTACATGACTTGCCGAGACGATCCTGCCGGACCCTCGGCAAAGTGCAGCTTCATCCCGCCCTCCGGAATAGCTCCGACCGGAAGCAGAACTTGCGCTTTCCAGGCCTCCGGTCACTCGCACTCGATGGCTCTCGCGGCTCTCGCCTCTCAGCTCCACAACTGCACGAGGTCTGGACCATTATGGAAAGCACTGCATCACTTGGGGCACCTATCACCTGTCATCAAGTAGGCACCGAGCACAATCGCACGGTTGGCCCCGCACAGAAAAACTCATCCAGCCTTGTCCACAACGATCTGTGTCTGGGCTTGCCCTGCAGGAAAGGGCTCCTGAAGTCTTGCATGCTGGCCATCCCTCGTCGGGCAACGACCAGCTGAGAATGTGGCACCTTCTGTATCACCTCCAGCCATCACATGAGGCATCTTGTTCGTGGGGCCATGTCAATGTGAGGCTGCACAGGACAATCAAGCCTGCAAGACCGACACAATCGGAACGGTCATGCTGAAAGTGCGAGGCCAGGGAGGCGAGCGGGTCCGCTGGCCGCTCGCGCAGGACCTTTCGCGCAGACGCGCTCCCTCCCTCGTTCGCCCACAGCTTTCACTGATACGAAACTTTCTGTGCTGGTTCTCATTCATACCCGCACGCACCCTCAGACAAACAGAAAGGCAAGCAGAGTGTGAAGCTTCTGTCAAGCCCACAACACACATGACAGTGCAATGTTGCTGCGCCAAAAAGAAGCGCACGGTCCGGAGGAGGGCGACAATCAGGTGTCGCAGCCTGTGGCTGCAACAACGATGCTGATGCAGCGTAGTTCTGAGTTTGAAAACATTGCTACATTGCAGATCATGAACAGTATGAGGACGTAGGGGTGGTACTGCTCGACACTTCGGCTGCTCGGCGTCGGTTGATGTGCACCTCCGGCAAGGTGAATTGTGCTCGTGTCATACATGTGGCGAATCGCGTGTGGCACCTGATAGCATCAACGAAAAGGTGCTGCCAACCCATCACTACCTCTCCCAGGGAAATCAACTTCACTGCGCAGCATGCCCGCCTTCGTGGCAAGACTTCACCTGCAACATTCCCTATATATTCTAGATTCAGGAGAGATGGGCCTTTTCATTGCATACGGTAGTATTCATTACACCAAACTTCCGAATATATCTAATCCGCCGAGGCCGCAGGCCTCAGGCGTCTGGCCCCCCTCTCCCTCCAGAAAAAAAAACTTCTGTTTGTTCTCTTCCTGCTCTCTGCAGCCCAACACCCCTGCGCAAATCTCCTTTGAGGTTTAGTACCCACTCTATTTAATCCTCCTCCCTGCAGCCCAAAAAGTTTAGTGACATGCGCTTTTTGGCCACAGTTTCTACCCCCTACCCCGGCTGGCCCATGCTGGCCCGTTCCTTCCCATCTTCATCCATTCATTCCTCCGCTTCCCTCGCCACTGTCGAGCCGAGGCGGGCTGCGTAGCGGTAGAATTATGTATGTTATGTACAGTGCATTGCATTTCATACATGCAGCATGCATGCATGCATGCATGCATGCATGCATGCATGCATGCATGCACATGCATCCATATATGCATGCATTCATACATCCACACATACATCCGTCACCGCCAAACGAATAATAAGTAGGCCAAAACGCCCACACCTGTTCATTATGGAAACATAGATACCCGACACACACTTCCTGTCAGTTTATGTGCCCAAGGACAGATCCCAAACTCTTACAGGGATACTAGTGCCCCTCACATGCCAGGACGAGGACTGCTTTCAAGTCAGATGCGCTGCCCGGTGACAGCTTGTCCGACCTGTCGCAGGACTTCGGGTGCTACGCGCTCTTAGGGATTTGGAAGTTGTACCATGGTTTGGGAATGCTTTCGGGATGTAGTGGTTTTTATTGCGGGTAAATGTTTTAAACCCTGAAGCCCAAACATACACTGGAGTGTTCTAATACTAATTTGATGTAAAAGCCTGCCGTCGAGATAGCGGCGACCTCAGTTGTAGTGGGTTCCCGATGCCATCCTGGGATGCCTTCATGGCATTTCGCTGTAAATTAGGAAGAAACCTGTAATCCAGGTAGCCACCAGCTGGAGTCCGTCTCCCAGGTGCACCACAGCAGGTAGATTTTCAGCCCTCCCTGGGGGCGTCTTCGCTGGCAGAAGACCTCAAGGGCAGAGCTCCCGTCCCCTGCAAGTTTTATGCCAGATCTCCAATAACGCCTCGTAACACAACTTTCGTTCACCCTAGTGCCGACTCGGGAGTGGTCACGCGCGCGGCACACAACCGCCTACGGAGAGGCGGATGATGCAATTAGGACGCGAGGGAAAGTTCCAGGGTGAGCGGGCTTGGTGACGCTGAAACTGATGCCAACGTTACTTCGCTACAAACTAACCTCAGCAGAACAAATATCGATTCTCGTTTCCATTCACTACCATTGCGAGTTCCCTACCTGCGAAGGAACGGTGAGAAACTTCCCAGCAGCAATCTTTTACCGTACTCGAAAGTTCATCGTCTGCGGCGTTTCGACTGTCTTCCGGGGGTTCTTGTTCCCGCAACACTGGGCTTGCAGAATTGCCTCCACAAAGGGACAAATGCTTGCAGCAATGAGCGACGGAATGTTCTGGAACGAAGATATACTTGGGACCCAATGTTTTGCAGAGCCGAATGTCCAAATGGCTGAATGTCTTGGATTTGAGCTGAAGCTTCCGAACCCTTGACAACGAGTTTCTCGTGCAGCCAATCATCTTGCTACCCTCAACAACTAGATGATCATGGCGGTTGCGTTGAGGTCGAGGATCATGAAACTTTCTAGAGCCATTCCGCTTGACGGGATGTCTCTTGCGGCTGTTAAGCAAAGGGAGTAACTCTTGAAGCTTCATGCACTTGGTTGAACTAATGAGAGCTTGGTTTGACTGGGTTTAAAGCGAAGGGTTGGCAAAGCAGCTGCAAAGACCCAAGCCAGTCCAAGACTGCGGTGCTGCTGGGATCTCCAAGTATTTGCCCAAACGGGAACAACAAACGACAACAAGATGGACTGCGCAACCTAATGACGGATCGGCACCCCCAGTGAACGGCAGTTGGTTACACCCAAAAGCAGAAACCGAAAGGCAACGACAAACCCACATCCTAAAGTCGCGAGGTGCATACCGCAGCTCGAGGGTCAGGAGTGATCAACAAGCAGTAAGCTCATAGCCAGCCCCCGAGAATATCAAGGCACATACCAAGACACCGAGGTACATGCCCTGGTCGCTCCACAAAACAAACAAAAGGCACTTACTGACAAGTCGGTGGTTTGAAGGCACGGTGAACTTTGAAGTCTCCCAGGCGCATGCAGAGGGTTAATATCACCAAGGCACATACAAAACACCATGCATGGCTCAACTGCTCAACATCCATGTCTCACCAAGCGCGAAAGAAGCACCGACGCACACCGATGCACCAAAACTCAAAGCCCAGTTGCATCGTGACCTGAAAGAATCGCGACACTCTACGAGGCCCATGCAGTCACCGAGGATCGCACCGGAGTACCCCAGATTGGCCCCCAAGTTACGGCACAGTCGTAGGTCCTAGAGGCACTTGCCAAGACTCTGCGGGTCGCAGGGCTGATAGAGGTGCACTGAAGTCCTGCCTGGTTGCAAGCAAGTTGGAAACTCGATTGCAACCCAAGCACCTACCAAGGTACGGAGCCGCACCGAAGTTCATACCAAGGAACAGTCGCTGAGTGCGGTGTTGTGATCATAAGGGATGGTTATGCGGGCGAGAAGCAATCTCCGATGCGCGGAGCAGAAAGTGCGGCACGCGTTTGTCTTGGGTTCGTTTCGGGCCGAAGACCTGACCTACGGAAAAACCCCAAGTTGGTGGCGTTCGCCCGTCCTCCCGTCCCCATACCTGTAAGTAAAGAAACGAGAACAAATCGAGCGACGGGACAAGGAACAAGGACAAGCGAACGAACAGAAGCTGCGACAACACTTCCACGAACGAGAACAAACAAAACGGAACGGGACGACGAACAAGTCAAGACGACGAACAAGAAAAAAAGTAAACGAACGACAAAACACAAGAGATCTTGGGACAAAAAAAGTACGTTGTGCCTGATGTACTGCGCCAGCTATTGGCTGCTTTAGCTTCTTTCCGCTGATACTTTACGCAACGGTGCTGACCGGGAGGAAAACCTCACTATATCCTCCATTGCCCCGAAAGGATCAAGACGGTGAGCCGCTGGGCCCTCCGCCTCTTGGACATAAGTCCGCACACTGGAGTATTCTAATTTGATGTCAAAGCTTGACGTCGAGATAACGGCGACCTCAGTTGTAGTGGGTTCCCGATGTCATCTTGGGATGCCTTCATGGCATTTCGCTGTAAATTAGGAAGAAACCTGTAATCCAGGTAGCCACGAGCTGGAGTCCATCTCCCAGGTGCACAACAACAGGTAGATTTTCAGCCCTCCCTGGGGGCGTCTTCGCTGGCAGAAGACCTCAAAGCACAGCTCCTGCCCCCTGCAAGTTTTATGCCAGATCTCCAATAACGCCTCATAACACAACTTTCGTTCACCCTAGTGCCGACTCGGGAGTGGTCACGCACGCGGCACAAACAGCCCTCACGCTTGAGTTCCGAAAGGGTAGAATGTCAGAGCGTTCAACCCAAGAGCCTCGGTAAACAATAGCCATGACTGCAAGACAATCTGCAAGAATTGTAACCTTGAGTGGCAAACGGCAGCTGCTACTACAAATCCTGGTCGTAAGCAAAGAGTGATGGTGTGAAAGCGAAAAAAATGATAATCGTAAACCATAATAATAACAACAACAACGACAACGACGACAACAGCAGCAGTACCAGTACCAGTACCAGTACCGATACCAGTACCAGTAGCAGGAGCCGGAGCAGGAGCAGGAGCAGTAGCAGTAGCAGTAGCAGTAGCAGTCGTAGCAGGAGTAGTAGTAGTAGTAGTAGTAGTAGTAGTAGCAAGTAGTAGTAGTAGTAGTAGAAGTAGAAGTAGAAGTAGAAGTAGAAGTAGAAGTAGAAGTAGAAGTGGCAGTAGAAGTAGTAGTAGTAGAAGAAGTAGTAGTAGTAGTAGTAGTAGAAGAACAACAAGAAGAAGTAGTAGTAGTCGTAGTAGAAGTAGTAGTAGAAGTAGAAGTAAAAGTAGAAGTAGAAGTAGTAGTAGAAGTAGTAGTAGTAGTACTAGTAGTAGTAGTAGTAGTAGTCGTAGCAGTAGCAGTAATAGTAGCACAAGTAACCGTAGGTGTAGTAGTTCGTAAGAAGACACGTACTCTCAATGAGAAAAACCATTGAGAAGAATGCGTGTCTGGGCACGCACCTATCTATCTAACTATCTACCTAACCTGGGTTTCTAACTACCAGTCTATCTATCTACCGGACTACCTGCTTACCCACCAACCTACCTACCTACCTACCT